AACGGTTCGCGAACGTTTCAATTTTTTTCATAATAAATTTTATTGCTAAAAACAAACAAACAAAAAAAAACGGAAATTAATGACGTCACTTAACTCCCCGAATAACAAACAATTATCGAATTCCCCCAAAAGACCAAACAAAAAAAAAAAAAAAAAAATTTATTTTAAAAGAAAAACGAAAGAATTTTTTTTTTTTTTTACTTTTCGTTTCGTTTCGTCGGTAGCAGAAGACAAAAAAAAAAAAATTCAAATTCGATGAATTACGTTCGACAAACACAAAAACAAACGAGGTTGAACGTGTTCGATATTGTTTTATTAGAAAAAAAAAAAAAAAAAAAAAAAATTTTTCGTCGAATGATTTTATGGAACGAATAAAACGGTCAAAATATTTCAACTAACTAACAAACTAACCATTAAGACCTTGAACGATAACTATTATTATTATTATTATTATTATTATTATTAGTATTATTATTATTACGATTCTCTTTTGTATAAAATGGCGGCGGCGTTTATTGTCTTCTTCTTCTTTTTTTTTTGTTATACGCGAACGAACGTTTGTCTACGACCAAAATTAAAACAATAAAAATTTTCCTCCCGATTTTAAATTCGATTCGAAACGTTCGAATTTTAACGGTCGCGTTCGTCGTGGTTTTAATTTATCCGTTTAGAAAAAAAATGCAACCGCGACGAATTATTCAAATTCTATTCCCCCAAATTTTTTATAAGCAGAAAAATAAAGCAGACGCGTTAGAATAAAACAAAAAAAATGACGAATTTTAAAGGAAAAACGAAAAATTCATCTTTTAATAAAACAACCGGAAATGATTCTCCGAACAACAACAACAAGAAAGGAATTAACCATTCGTGACGAATTTTTTTTTTTTTTTTTTTTTTTTCCGTTACAAAAACTAAATTTAACGATTTCGATTCTTTCCCATTTAATAAATAATATTTGATCGGTTATTATCCAATCGTTTTTTATCATATCACGCTGATAAGGATAATAATAATAATAATAATAATAATCGTTTGATTAATATTTTTTTTTGGAATAATCTACCGCCACGTATTTTTCTTTTTTTAAATAAAAAAAAATTAAACGTGAAAGTTCATTAGCCTTTTTCAATATTCCTCTCTCTCTCTCTCTCTCTCTCTCTGTCTCAACACGTGAAACCGACGGAAAAACTTTTTTTTTTTTTACTCTTCCTTCCATTTATTTTGACATTTGTAATATCATCATCATCATCATCATCATCGTCGTCGTAACCGTTATTTATTATTCTGTCAATTTTTCCCCTTTTTTTTTTTTTTTAAAAAAAAAAACCAATTTAATTATAAATAATTAATCAATTTTCATTTATTATTTATTCTTTTTCAAAAACAAAAATTGTTTAACGATTTCATTATTTTAATATATAAACGTTCGATGATGCGTTCGTTATGCCACGTTCGTAATGCCACGTTCGTAATGACACGTTCTTAATGCCACGTTAAAAAAAAATAATTAAAAGCGTCGGCCATTTTTTTTTTATTTCTTATAAAAATAAACGATTGCCATACGAAATTTCTCGATACAAATTTCTCGATACAAATTTCTCGATTGTTTTTTTTTTTTTTTTTTAAATTTGTTTGTCTGTCTGTTTGTTCGTTTGTTTGTTTGTGCAAATTTAAAAAAAAAAATTGTTGTAATGCTAAAAAAAGCAAAAAAAACCGTTACGAAATGTCGAATAACATAAAAAGAGGGTAACAAAAATAATTTTTTTTTTAACAAACGATTTCCCTTTTCCTCCTTTTCCCCCGTTCCCCTCCCCCCCTTTCTCCCTATTCCCCCTCGCGAAAGTTATCATATGACAAATTAATGATAATTATGATAACAATAGTAATTGTGATAAGAAAAAATCCAAAAAAAAAAAAGTTTTCCAAAAAAAAAAAAAATTTGGGTTAAAATACGAATGTGATAACAAATCCCGTTACAAAATTTATAATCGCAAAAAAATTATTATTATTATTATTATTATTATTATTATTATTACAACTTCTTATCACGCGACGGAAAATTCAATTTTTCTTTTTTTAAACCGTTTATAATCCGACAAAAATCGTTTTTAATAATAATAATAATAATAATAATTTATATTAAAATTATTTTACCTCTATGACCTATCTACCTACTTACCTATTTATTTTTAAAATAAATTTAATAATATAAATATTAATAATAATAATAAATCGATCTTTAACGGTTAAAACGCCGACGGTTTTACTATAATAATAATAATAATAATTTTTTCCACGTTGGATTTGTTATAAATAAATAAAAAAAAAATTTTGCAATATTTGCAAAGTTTAAAAATAATAATAATAATTATTTATAAAATAAATAAAACGCACACGCACGCACACGCACTCACAAACAATGATAAATATAGAATTGATAAAAAAATAATAATAATAATAATAGTAATAATAATAATAAAGTAAATAAAATTAATTTATAGTTTTTTTTTTTTTTATTATTTACCTTATTAATCAATCATCGAATGATAATTTTTTTTTATCGATAACAACCGTCGCCATTATCAAAGAAAAAAATGTTTGTTTTAATGTTTGTTTCCGTTTGTTGTTGTTTTGTTACAAAAATATTTTTTTTTTTTTGTTAAAATATACGTTTGTACACATATTAATAGATTTTGTGAAAATTTTACTTTTTTTAAAAATAAACGCAATAAAAAATTTTTATTTAAAATAATGAAAATGAAAACAAGGTCGACCACTGAAAAAAACAATCACGGCCTCATTTTAAATACAAACTTTTATGCAAAATAATAATAATAATAAAATACAATTGTTGTTAATTTTATTAAAATCTGATTCTTTATTTATTTATTTATTATTAAATAATTATGTGTTTGTAAGACAAATTTAAAATAAAAAGTTGGATAATTTAAACAAATGTTTGTTAAGGAGGTAACAAAAATCTGGTTTGTTTGTAGCCATTATCATTATTATTATTATTATTATATTTTTTGGTTATTTAATTTTAGTATTATATTTAAATAAACCGACGGTTGTTGTAGGAAATATTATTAATTTGATAATATTAAAAATGAAAGTTGTTTGAAACTATATGAGAGACCATTTTGTGTTAAAAAGAAAGTAACCCAATGATTAATCATTTATGATCAACAAATAATTGAATTTTTTTTTTAAATTTAATAATAAATATTTATGATAATAAAAAAAAAACCTTTTGTTTATAAATAATAATAATAATAACTTACCCCTTTCCGTTAAATTATTATCTCTTGAATTTTTTATTTTATTTTTAGCCATGTTTCTTTTATACATATTATAACAATGTCACTTATCAAGTACATTTTTTTTTCATATAAATTTCATATTTTTACGTTAATTAATTATTTAAACTTATTGTTAATCATTTAAACTTATCTAATTAACTAATTATGCATGTTAAATATTATACGTGAATTATATAATTTTAAATAATAAAGTCATAATTTTATATACTACCTATGTTCGTCCATGTTCAAAATCGTACATTTTTTTTTTGTGAACTTAATAAAACAATTTCAAAATTTTTTTTTTTTTTCTATAATAAACTATTTATACGAGCACAAATAAATAAATAAATATATATATAAATACTTATTCAATGTAATAAATGAAAAGAATAATAATAATAATAATAATAAATGAAACAATCTTAGCAATAAAAACAATCGTAATAAAATAAACAAATTTTTTTAAAAAGTTTGAACCGATCGTCTTTTGACGCTGCCCCCTAGATTCAATTTTACGTAACGTTATGTGAAAGTGGTTTTAAGCGCTTTCGATAATCGTTCGATATCTCGATTCTAAAACGAAAATCACGCCATTTTTAATCAAAAATAGTATTTTTTTCCCCCCGTTCTTTTGCGTTCTCGTACGCGCGTGTGATTGTTTTTCTTTGTGCAAATAAAAATGATGAACGTGTTAAAACACTGTTCGAGAATTCCATTTGGAAAAATAATCAATTCGCAAGTTGGGAGAAATTTCATTGCTCCCAAAATTAATTTCAACATATTAAAATCTTCATATTCAAGGACATTATGGCACATGTGTTCATCATCGAAATTCAATGAAGATTTTCTCAAACCAAAACCGTTAAATGAATTATGTCAATGCGGGTGTTCAGGTCTTATACACACGGGAGGTGAAAATGATTTGGCTGATTTTTTAAAAGAGGAAATAGCACAAGAAAAAAAAGCATTGAAAATGAAAAATTTACCGGCTGAAATAGATGGTTTTACCGTATCCGCCGATCACGCGGAACTCGTTTTCGAAAAGAAAAATCAATTTGAATCAATTATAGTCACCATGAACGTTAATCACAGCGTCGACACGGACGAATCCCCCGAAGATGACGGTATGGGTGACATGAGATCAAAACCATCATTTGACGTTGATATCGTCAGAAACAAAAAGACGTTAAGTTTTTCATGTTCGTTTACCAATTTCCAAGATGCCGGTGAATCAGAATCAGCAGATTTGTACCAAATAAATGATGTTACTTATTTCGAAGGAGATTGGGATGACAAAACATATTCTGTCGCTGCAGACATACTCGATGAAAATCTATATGATTTATTTATGGTTGTTTTAAGTGAAAAAGGAATAACAAAAAGATTTGTCGAAAAAATGTCTGATATAGCTACATCACATGAACATTCTCAATACATCAATTTACTCGAAAATGTTAAAAAATTCTCATCTGCTAATTAAAATATTATTATTATTATTATCATTTATTTTTTTTCTTTAATTCGAAAGAAAGGTATTAATTATTACACTCGTTGTGAAAAATGTTATTAATTACATGTTTGATTAATTATAATTAAACAAATTTAGATAATTTTATCACACATAATAATAATAATAATAATTATTCAGTGTCAATTTTTATAAATAATACAATTTTTACAATTTATAATTTTAAAAAAAAATCTTTAAACTATTATCGAAAATTATCATTTTAATTTGTTAATGAATTTTGTCGTCTTTTGCCTCCGATAAGCAAACATCAACACACACACACACCGATTTGTATACATGTTAAGAAGTAGACTGAAATTTTAATTATTTAATTAAATAATTAATAAAATTTTTTTTTTTAATTAAATAAATTTATTTTATTTCATTTCATTTATTAAAACCTCAAAAAAATTCAAACGACAAAAGGATTTTGTTATTCAAAATAAAATATAAAAAAATGATAATAATAAAATTTAAAAAAAATTTTTTATTTATTCGATAAAAAAAACATTTTATTTATTTACATTATGACTTATTATCATTATTATTATTATTATTATAATAGTAGAGTGGCATTTTTCGTCGTTTATTTAAATAAAAAAAAAAAAAAAAAAAAAATTATATAAATAAATAAATACTTATATACTACAAATTTTACTTTTTTTTAAATAAATACCAAAATTGCGCCAAAAATATTTCGCGCCATTTTTTTTTAAATTTAAAAAAATAATAAAAACTTATTTATAATAATAATAACAATAATAAAAAAAAACCCATTCACCGAATCCCCATATTTTTTTTCATTTTGGTTAAGAATACCGGTACTTTTATTTATTTATTTTTTTTTTTTTGTCATTATTTATCATTATTATTATTATTTATTTATTTAAAATAAATAAAATTATTATTAATTTATTTATATATATATATATATTATTCATCAAGGTCTAAATCACTGTAAAAACTTTTTCATTTTTCTTTTTTTTTTTTATCTCTCTCTCTCTCTCTCTCTCTGATTTGTCGCCATTTTGTCAAATTACTTATATTTTACCGCCAATGGATTTTATTAAATATCCTCATCACATTGTTTGATTCAGTGTAAAATTTGCAAAGTGGCGACAAATCTCCCCCCCGCAAAAACAAAAAAAAAAAAAAAAAATTGTATTTAATTAAAGTTTTTACTATGAGTTGACCTTAACTTAGTCAAATGATAAAAAAAAACTTATTAATAATAATAATAATAATAACTATAAAATGATAATAATAATATAAATAAATAAAATTAAATAAAAAAAAAAAAAAATTTTTCGAGGTAAAAGCGAATTCACATTTAAAAAGATTTAACGAATCAATCTTTTCTTTTCTATCTTCTCCCCGCACCTGATAACGACGACGACAACAACAACAATCATCATCATTATTATTATTATTATTATTATTATTATCATGGTTATCGCGATGCAGAAAAAATTAATAAACGAACGCTTTTACCCCCTTTTCCCTTCAATACTTCTTCTTCCTCCCTCTCTCAGTTATTATTATTATTACGGGATCAAATATTCACGCACTCACGCACGCACGCACACACCCGCACTCTCACGCGCACGCATTCACGCACTTGATTAAATTGCACTTTCGAAATGGAATTTTATTAACATCTATAATAAATCGGAGGGAAAATTTTTCTTTTTTTTCCGCAGCACTCGGGGGTGCGAGCGCTCCCCCCTTCCCCCTAAACTAATTAATTATTATTATTATTATTATTATTATCATTATCATTATTAATAATAATATTTAAGCCACTAACTTTTTTGGAGAGAGCCATTGTTTCATGTAGTAGCAAAACAAGGTGCTTATGTAGACTAAAACGAGTAGAGCGCAAGTGACGGCCAATGCTAAAACGGATGTTTTCGTCGGACACGGCTCGACAATCGTAACCGTTTTATCTGCAAGAGAAAGGTAAACAATAAAATTCCCAAAGTTTATTACTACGTACGTCATCGTTGTTATGACGTCACGTACCTTTTCCGAAATCCGCAGCCGAACCATCGTGACGTAAGAATTCACTTTGTTTTTCATCGCCGAAATCTAAAACTAATATTTCCTGACTCAGTGTCATGTCTTCTTCCGTCGAAGAATCGTTCGACGAATTACCACCGACGCTCCTTCGTTTTCTTCCCAACGATTCGATCGAATCCCTTCCGTATTCGCAAACAGCCTGGAATAATCATAGAGTTTTACAAGAAGGAATGAAGAAAAAAAAAGGGGGGAGGGGGGAGAGGGAAACTCACGGGTTCGCAGGGTCCCAAACAGTATTTGACGTTACACTGAAATATGACTCCATACGATTCGGTAAATCTGAAAGCTTCGTATATGGATTGCAACGCGTTTCCGTCTGCGTTAAAACCTGGAAATATCGTCGGATCAACTGGACAACTGGAAAAAGACAAAAAAAAAAACAAAATCTAATCCCACGATTCTTTTCGTTTACGTCTCGTAAAAAAAAAATTTATTTTTTTTTTTTTTTACCCTTCGTCGTCGATTATTTGAAATGTACTTTTTGAATCTTTGGCCATGGCAACGCAACTTCTTGCAAATATTCCGTAGGGTGCTAAAAACAAACAAAAAAAATTTTTTATTTATTTATTTATTCAACAATCATTTTGTTTCAAGTCGAATAAGCGGAAATGGTTTTCTTACTATCTTCCGGTATTTCGATTCTAAACGTTAATTTATCACCGATTCTAACTGTTTCAACTTCTCTACTTCTCGAATCTAATATTCTTATTCTCGGTGGTGGTGCTTCCGGTGCTGACGTAATACTTATCATTTCCGGATCTCTGAAAAAAAAAATCAAATCATCATCCTATTAATAATAATAATAATAATATGATGACGACGACACGATCACGATCACGACGATTATTATGGTTATGAAACCGATCATTCAATTTTTTTTTTTTTTTTCACGGTCTTTTTTTTAATTTAATTATGACTGGCAAAAAAACAAACAAACAAGCGAACAAGCGAACAAACAAACAAACAAACAAGAGTGTTTAATTTATACCTAATTGGCATCATTCCGAACGTGATATTTTTCGACGACATGTCGTAGGTACATTTAACCTTGTATATTTTGTCGGCTTTTGTCATGACGACGCTGTGATGTTGCAAAACGACAGTGTTGGAATAAACACCCGTCTGAAACGCATTTCCAAAAAAAATATTAATGATAATAATGATGATGATGATGATGATGATAATACTCTTTTTGACACTTACGACTGATTGCGTGTTACAATCTTGTCCGGTCATTGTCAAATCCAACCTGAACAAATCGCTGTTGACGACGTCAATGTTACACGTTTCCGATCTTCCCAATGCGTAAATTCTTCCGTTAAATGGTTTGTTCGTTCTTACTTGGACGGCTATCCTCGTATCTTTGCAATGTACGGAAACTACGAGAAAAAGGGGGGGAGGGGCGAAATTACCCGTAATTATTATTTTTATTAAATTTCCTGCGTGTAAAATATTACTTTTTTTTCTTAAGTGCGACCATTTAAAAAAAAAAATAGAGTAAATAAAAACGTGGCATTAATTTCCGGTTGACTTAATAAAAAAATTTACGAACGAACATTGTCGAGAATGTACGAAACCGTTTGTAAATATCGAAAACAAATTAAAATAATAATTATAATTATAAATTTTTTAAACTCTAAAAAGTAATTTTAAAAAAATAATAATAATAATAATTTTTAATTAGTCTTACCGTCGTAACAAGTTCCGGTTTTGTCGCATTGACATCGGCTCTCGTTAAATTATTCAATAATGGATCTTCGGTGTTTTCGAAAACGACCGGAAGTTCACCATTTGTCGGTTCTGCAATGTAAACAAATAAGAAAACAACGATTTTTAACGTGTAAATAGAATAGAGAGAGAGAGAGAGAGACAAACACTCACTTTCACAATAGTTTTCATAATACGTTCCAACTCTTTCTCCGTTATCAATCAAAGGTCTATCGGCATTTAAATAAGTGTTGGGTCCCTCTGGAAGAGTTTTGTGATCCAAATGAAACAATTGACAATTGTAAGATGTTCCCGTTGGTGCTCCCTTGTATAAAAACGACCGGCATAAAAATTCATTTTCAATTTCGCAAGCAAGACGACACGCAGATTCGCTTGTGACCTGAATGTGAAAAAAAAAAAAAAAACATCATGACTAATTATTTTCTACATTAATTAGTTAGTGCAAAAAAAATTTTTTTTTTAACTAAAAAACTAATTGCTCGATTAATTTTAAATAATTACGACGACATTAAATTTTTTTTTATCGAACGTCGTATAGAAATTTCTATAATTAATTAATTTTTGGGGGAGTAAGAAGAAAAAAAACAAACGAATTAGATTTAAAAAATCAACGCCTTCAACACTATTAATAATAATAATAAACGTAACGGTTTTTTGTTTACCAACCTGTAATTCTTTATCTATGTAGTAATGAAAACTGGCATATTGAGCTACTTTATCGTCTGCCACACCGATTCTTGGCACCTGAAAATTCCGATTTGACTTGCAGGCTTGACTACCTAATGAATACAAATGAATAAAAAATTTAAAAAAAAAATGTCAATTGTGTGTCGTCATACAATAAATTCTTTTTATCGGTGTGACGTCAATTCGTGGGCGTCACGCAAAAACATAATAATAATAATAAATTTTCCCATACCTTTGAGACATAAATTTTCAAAGTAGTCAACTCCTGGAGCATCGACGAATTGCACGTATTGTCCACTCGTTCTCCTATCGGAATCGCTCAAATGACATTGTAAAGTGACGTAATTGTATTCGACTGATCTGCACGTGAATCGATGCTGTGAAAAAAAAAAAAAAATGTCGTTGGGAAAAACAGAAACAAAAAAACTTTATGAAAATATTAATTTTAGGGAGACTAACTTCGTTCAAACAAGCTCCCAAACAAGCTTCTTTTGTCGATGTGTATATTAAAGCATTATCGAGTCCGCGAATCATTTTATTTGGCACACGTTCGAACGTCCACGGTCTTAAACAAACATTATCTGCAAAAAACGAATAACATTATAAATAATGAAAATAATGGGGAAAATTCATTGCAGTCAAATACCTTTTTTTATTTATTCTCACCTGATCTTATTTGAAGTTTAACCATATAGTATAAATTAACACTTCTCTGGGGGGAAGCAGCCGGATTACTGGCTGATGTTTCATTTTGTAATTGGCAAACCGTTTCCTGTACCGGCGTCAACGGATTGACGACAAAACTGAAAAAAAATCAAAATTCATTCATTCATTCATTCGCTCGCCTCTTCTTCTGCCACTTCTCCGTACGAAACAAAATAAATAAATTCTTTCGAAAACTAATGACACGAAATAATTTATTTTTTTTCTTTATGCGAATTAAACAGATTAAAATCAACGTCAGATGAAAAAAAAAAAAAAAGGAGGTAATAAAAAAAAAAAAAAAAAAATTACTTTGCATGCACGCGACAAAAACAAATTGTAAATTTTTACCATATATGGAAAATAAAAAAAATCTTTCATTAATTACGTTAAATAAACATATGGAAGAAGGCTGGAAGGATAACAGTAAATTTTCATATATATCAGATGTGATGCCACTGACAAAAATATTTAAAAAAAAAAAAAAAAAAAAAAGTTTACGAACGAGGACGACGTAAACCTAAATTCCACCACCATTATTATTTATCATTTAAACCCAAAAAAAAAAAAAATTAGAAAAAAATTAAAAAAAAATTACAATTTCAATACTTTACTTCCCCTCCCCACTGTCTCCCCCTTCTTCTCCCCTTCCTCTCCTTCCCCCCCTTATAACAATTTCGAACCTAATCGTTAAAAAGTTAACACATTTAATACCGCGACGATTTCATTTATTAATTTTTCACATGTAAAGAAAGGTACGCGCGAGTGAGGAGGGAGGGAAGAGGAATAGGAGAGAAAATGTTTTTCTAAACGATTATTATTATTATTATCAGTACCTGAAAGACGCCGCTTGACAATCGGGTTCTTCTCTGCACCAACCTTGACACTCGTATAACGATAAATTTTTAACCGTGTAATATGTTGTTCCTCGATAATCCAATTCTGTTAGTTTTTCAAATGCTACTCGACCTGTAAATATCATTATTATCATTATCATTATTAACATTATCATTATTATCATTATCATTATTATCATCATTTATTTCTTCTTTTTTTTACTTATAAAATCTCATTTTCTACAAAAAAAAAAAAAAAAAAAAAAAAAAAACGGTAAGAAATTTTTAGTGACGTCAACAAAATCTTGTTGTTGTTTCATTTGTTGTACTAAATTTCGTGTACTTTTTTTTTTTGTTCGAGATTTCGAGATAATCGAAATTAATCGTATCGATATAAAAAAATATATATATTTATTTAATTGTTTATAATTTTACAAAAAATTATTTTACGGTATTTTAACCAAAAAAAAAAACGTGAGTAATTTAAAAAAACAAACAAACAACAACATAAAACAAACAAAAATTTTTTTATTTAATATTTTTATTATTATTATTATTATTATTATTATTATTTAAGGTTTTTAACCGAAAATTTTCAACGAAAACTTTTTTATTATTAGAATTTCCCATTTGAAAACAAACATAACTGTTAATTAATTACGCGGGCAAAACTAATTCATATTTCATAAATTTATTTAATTATTAAAAAAAAAAAAAAAAAAAAATTAAATAAGAGGAAACCCCCCCACTACGCCCTACGCCTCTCCTCCCGTCTTCTCTCCTCCGACTCCCTCCCCTCCCATCCCCTTTCCCATAGGAAAAATCTTTCTTTTTAAAAAGTATGAATTAGCTTAATTAACCACACACCTTTTTTATTTATCGTACGAACGATCGCCATGCCTTTTCATTTTTCCTTTTTTTTTTTTTTTTTAATTACAAGACTTTTCTTTATTTAAAAACATGAGTTTAAAAACGTGGCAATAGACAAACAAATAATAATAATGATAATAATAAAACTCACCCCAAGAAAATCCAACGTTTCCCAAGACTAGAAGTAAAACCACTCGTAGAAGAGAATTCATTTTTATTTATTTCTTTTCTTTCTTCTTTTTTCTTCACGATTTCCTCCCTATCTTCCTCTCTCTTTCCCTCTCAGTCTGTAAAAAAAAAAAACGCCGACATTAATATATTATTATTATTATTACAATTCAATCAAGTGAATTTTTTTTAAACTCTCGTAAATGACAGGTGCGTGCCTGCGTGCCCAAGACCAAACACAAAAAATTTATTTTTTCTCTCCCGCCCCCCCCTCTCCCCAATGCATTCAATTAAACTCACGCAATCATTTACGACGAAGACGACTACGATGATGATGATGATGATGATGATTATTATTATTATCACGAGTATATATATTTATACGGTACGCGTAGCCCGGAGAACGATATAAAAAAAAAAAAAAAAAAATTATTTTTTAAAAGTGACTTAATTATAATAATTACCGTTAGGCAAACATTCTAAACATATAAACGTTACGCACGTTACGCATGTTACGCATGTTACGCACGTTCCTTCCTCCTTTCCTTCATTTTTCCAATTCATTCTAAAACGTTTCGCAGCGTAAACCATCATCATTATTATTATTTTACACCG